CCACAGTGCCTAGAATATAAAAGGTACTTAGCTGGGTGTGGTGGGGAGTACCTGATTCTCAGGAGGCTGAGACAAGAGGATAGCTTAAACCCAGGGGTCAGAGGCAAGCCTGGAAACATAGTGAGACCCCAATTTTTAAAAAAAGAAAGAGGGCACTCAAATAGTACTTGACTGATACGCAAAACGACACAATCAAGGATGCACAAGAAACAAGTAGAAACAATTGATGCATTAGGGTAGTAGATATTTTTTTACAAATATCAACAGGTAAAAAATTAGCATTTAGTGCCAGGTATGCTGGTGCACACCTGTAATCCCAGCTGCTCAGGAGGTTGAGACAGGAGAATCACGAGTTCAAAGCCAGCCTCAGCAATGGCGAGGCACTAAGCAACGCAGTAAGACCCTGTCTCTAAATAAAATACAAAAATAGGGCTGGGGACGTGGCTCAGTGGCCGAGTACCCCTGAGTTCAATCCCTAGTACAAAAAAAAAAAAAAAAAAAAAAAAAAGCATTTGAAACAATTGTTTGCATTGCTTTACAGTGCTCAGTATAGTATTTAAAATCTATTAGTTCAGCCAGGTATGGTGGCTTATATCTATAATACAACTCTGTAATCCTAGCAACTTGGGAGGCTGAGGCAGGAGGATTGCAAATTCAAGACCAGCCTCAGTAATTTAGAGAGACCTTGTCTCAAAAAGAAAAAAAAATCTATTAGTTAAGAGTTAATTTTCTATAAAACCTCTGATTTAGATGTCCACCTCATGTACTCTTGAAGTTACCTCAATAAAAGTAGGAAAAAAAACCTCTAATATAAGTATTCAACAGTCACCTTTCCTGGGTTAAGCAGGCTCACAGTTGTTATAAATTAAGCTAATTTGTTTCATGAGCACATTATTAATCTACAATCATAAAAAAACTGAACTGTTATAGACCTGAACTGTCCAACATGATAACTACTGGCTACACATAGTTACTGCAGTTAATTAAATAAGATATAAGTCCATTTGTCAGTTGTTCTAACCACATTTCAAATGCTTAGGGCCATGAGTAGCTAGAAGTTTGTTAGAGTCTGTAAACAAGTCAGGATGGCACCTGGCATTTTGCCAGATAAATGTTAGGGTCTGTAAACAAGATGGCGCCTGGCAAAATGCCAGAGGGAGTGGTTTGTGAAGTAATGCCAGGAGCCATTAAGTGTGGAGATTTCTTATTGGTTGACTGCTGTATCTAGTTTATGCTAATTAAGATAAGCTGAGTGGAATGTATAAATATCCCTCTGTTGTCCTACAATAAAAGGCTCCCACTCCTGCTGTATCCATCTACACAAGTTATTCATCACCCCCCGCCCCGCCCCCCTTATTCTGCTGCAGCGGGACTACGGCAGAAGTTACCATCCTGGACCTCATAAATACAGAACACCACAGAGAATTCTATAGGGTAGAGCTGTTATAAAATTTTTCTAAAACTTCACTTTAATGCATAAAACTGATTTAGCTGAGATATTGGCAGAACACAACCTTGTAATTTCCAGTTCTATAGTCTATATCTATGGTTCTCAAAACACGATCCCAGTACCAACCCCACTTAGGAATTTTTTAGAAATATCAACTCTCAAGCCCTAGCAATCTATTTTACCAAGCTCTACAGGTGATCCTGGAGAATTCTAAATCATGTTCAAGTTTTAGAGTCATTGTTCTAACAGAAAATAAGCCATTGGATGACAAGAAATCTACTACTATAGACTATAAATGATCGATCAACTATGAAATCATATACAATCATATCCCTATGAGGTCTTCTTTTTGGGGGGAGGAGTGCCAGAGACTGAATTCAGGGGCACTAGACCATTGAGCCACATCCCCAGCCCTATTTTGCATTTTAATTAGAGTCAGGGTCTCACTGAGTTGCTTAGTGCTTGCTTTTGCTAAGACTGGCTTTGCATTAGCGATCCTCCTGCCTCAGCCTTTGGAGTTGCTGGGGTTACAGACATGCACCACTGCACCCAGCTATTATGATGTCTTCTAATACAAAAACAAACAAACAAAAAAAAACTCAGTATACACTTCAATAAGTTATAATATTACATTTGAATAAATTGTGAACTTGATATCTTTAAAAAAAATTAAAACTTTAAACCACGGCATAATCACATTTCCATCTTTTCCTAAGGTTACAATTAAATGCTTTTAATTTAGAGAATGAGAGCCTAGCTCAGTGACAGAACACTTGCCTAACATGCACAAGGCCCCAACTTCAATCCTCTGCATGGAAGGGGGAAAAAAAAGCACTTTAATTTAGGAAAAATACACATAGGGGAAACATGAAGAAGGAAATATTTTCAAATTGTGCCCTAACTATAATTTTCACATGGGCAAATATTACTTTTGTAATAAACTAATAAATAAAAATCGATTAACAAGAATTACCTCAGCAAGAAGTTAAAACTAGGGGCTGGGGGGGATAAAGCTCAGTTGGTAGAATGCTTGCCTAGCATGCACAGGCCCTGGGTCCAATCCCTGGCACCACCAAAACCAAACAAACAAAAAAGAAGTTAAAACTAAAGTTGCATAATTGTTACAAAAGAAACTAAACAATTTGAATACTCCTAATTTCCTCTTACCAGTCATAGATTTAGCAGAAAACTATTATTTGCAATATCGACATCCAAGTATGTTAAATATTCCTTATTCAATTTTCTGACAGAAAAACATCCTTAGAAGTTTCAGCTAAGAACAGTGTGTAATACATTAAAATAAAATCACTGGGAAAAGATCTCATCTTGGTTTACCACAAATTTGTCTCAAAAAGGAGAGACTTTAAGTGCCCAGTAGATGACAAATTTCTGCTACAGCCAAGTGTTTACTTTGATACCGTAGTGGTGGAAAACTACTTAGTCATGCACAGAATTTTGTGTAGTTTAAAAGCAACAGAAATGTTTATAACATTGAAAATATTTACAACATATTGAACTTAAGTGTAATCCATCAGAAGCTAAATCATACTTCATACTATTGCCTGGGTACATAAACATCAACTTCCAAACATCCTTCCATAAAGTGAATGGTGTCAATGGTTAACAAAAATTTGACATCTATTTAAAAAATGTTTGTGGTACTGGGAATCAAACTCAGGGGAGCTCTACTACAGCCAGTCCTTTAAAATATAAACATACACACACACACACACACACACACACACATATATATATATATATATATATATATATATATATATTTTTTTTTTTTTTTTAATTTTGAAATAGTATCTTGCTAAGTTGCTGAGGCTGTAGTGATCACTGCCTAAATCTCCCCAGTCCCTGGGATTACAGGTGAGTGCCACTGCACCCATCTAAATTTTGACATCTAAACACTCTTATTACTCTAATACTAAGGACACAATTTCAACATTCTAAGTATTGTTTTTTAAAAGTCAAATAATTAATATATTAAGTACCAACCAGTCTTATTTCTGTCATTCACTTCTGCATGCCTAGTATAGATTGAGGCTTACAGCGTCACTTGGGATTGGGGGGGGGGGGGGAGGAATGAATACTTTCTTTGGAGATACAATTTTTTTCCCCTAATGATTTCAGCCCTCAAGGGGATTACAAATGGAATTGAGAGACAAGACAAACTCTTGAAAAGATGAAAAACAGGACAATTAAAACTGTCACCTGGCAAGATATGTTTATTTGCAAAGTTAGTGGCAGAGAGAGCTGTAAATTCTGACCATAATGAGATTAGTATGGACTGCAGTCCTTCCGGTCACCCTTCCAGAATATGAAAGTGAGCTGGGCGCCGCTGAGGCTGCACGCCTGTAATCCTAGAGACCAGGAAGGCTGAGGCAGGAGGAACTCCAGTGCAAAGCCAGTCTCAGCAACTTAGAGGAGGACCCGGTCTTAAAATAAAAAATAAAAAAGGACTGGGGATGTGGCTCAGTGATGAACCGTCCCGGATTCAATTCCTAGTGTAACAAAAATGAAAAAAAAAAAAAAAAAAAAAACTATAGAGTATCCGGGTGCAATGGCCCCTGCCCCACCACCAGCCGGCCCCTGCTTGGTCTCTCCAGTGACTTGAGAGACTGCAGCAGGAGAATCGCGAGTTCCAGGCTAGCCTCTGAAACTTATTAAGGCCCTAAACTACTTAGTGAGATGGAGAAAAATATTAAAAATAAAGAATGTGACACAGCACTCACCCCGCCCTAAAATTATCATCAGGTAAAGAATGAAAGACAGAAGGAAACTTTCATACAAGGTTTTTTAAACCTATGGTAGAAAAAAAAAAAAAAAAACCACCACATTCCACAGGCACAACCGTTTCCTGGATTCAGGACTTATAAAGGTGCCAGAAATACAAGTCTCTTAGGAACAGTGTCCCCTCATCCTCTCTTCTTTCGCCCCTCACGGAGCTTTCCAGTGGACAGCCGCCCGAGAAATTTCTCCGAGTATCCGCAATGGCCATACTCTCATCTTCCTCTCCCTCCCCTCGCCGGTATCAGACAGTGGCATCTCCCTCCAAAGGAAAAAGCCGAGGGCGGGGGAGTCAGAATAAGAGAGAAAGCTTGCAGTGAGGACGATCAAGGAGGAGGAAGGTGAGAAAAAGCGGGGGGCGAGGGTGCAGAATCCTCGGTCCCAGCCCAGCCCATCCCCTAGGAACGCAGGCCCACACCTCCCCACCCCCAAGTCACGCCCCTCGCCTACCAGACAGCGGGCTATCACAGGACAGCTGCGCCGCACCCTGGCCCCGCTGGGAGACGACTGCCCCTGCCCCACCACCAGCCAGCCCCTGTTTGATCTCTCCCCTTCCCGTCCACGTCGCCGACGAGTGACAGGTCCCGGGGGAGGCGATCGCAAGCGCACGCCGTTCCGGAATACCGGTGCAACCAAGCACCGAAGCCCTCCAACAGGCGCGGGGGTGAAGACAGAACGTTCCGGACGGCTCGGGGGACCCAGTCCAGGCCCAGGCTGCCCAAGCTGGCCCACACCGGGCGGGGGTGGCACTTACTGCGGAGATTGTGGATAAGCTCCGAGTGGCTGGCGCCGCCGGATTTCCAGGCCATCGCTAAGCACACCCGGAGCAGGTACAGAACCACCTTCAGCGCGGCGACGGTGCCCAGCAGCTTTCCCAAGAGTGAGACCACCTCCCACACGGTCACCGCCCCGCTCCCGTCCCCGGTATTGCCGCCGATATTACTGCCGTCGGCGTCGCTGCCGCCACTGCGCGCTCCCGGCATCCCCCGCGGCACGCATGCGCTCTGTGACGCCGCGCGCCCTTGGGTGCGGCCGGGTGGGGCCGGAGGCGGGGGAGGCCCGTTGCCCTGCGGCGGTTGCGGGTGGCTGCTGCGGCTGCTGGGGGACCCCGGGGAGGTTGTGCTGAGTCAGCACCACCGCCGCCGCGTGCCCTTGCTGACTTCGCCCTGCGGCCGGGCCGATGGTCCCCAGAGCTGTGGGTCGCGTTCCTGCCTGTGGCTCCTGTCACCGTGTGCGGCGGCGGGCTAGCAGGGCCGATCTGTACCGCGACTGCAGGTGGCTCCGCCGTCGCCGCCGGGTCAGCTGTTGCAAGCGGCCAGTCTGCTCCTATAGCTGTCCAGATTGTTAGACGGTGGGCTTCCTCCGTCCTGTCTCACCCAACCTTGTTGACTCATATTTAGGTCGGTTGGAGTCAAGGCTCCCAAGGATGGAGCCGAAAAAATAATCTTAATGGAGCCCAAGGGCAAAGCCCCTCTCATCGAGTACACCAGCCTCTAGCTTAGTGACAAGCACGTCACGTTTGGTTAAACAGAGACTTTAGGACCCTGATTTGTTCTTCACTCTAAAGCGCAAATACAGAGTGTAAGAATGCCATCACATGGGGGGAGAGTGGGGGAGAATGCGCCTTTAGAACAAAACAAACGTGAAGAGATATAATTGGTTAAAAAAAAAAATACCTCGGTATCCTGTGGTGAATGTGTTGTTCTCCCAATGCAAGTGTGACTTTTCAGCTAATTAAGCCTCACAAATTCCACTCTTAGATTGGGCACCAACTTTTATTGCTATCAGTTCTGCAGGACCATGAGTGAGAAGCTGACAGGGAACATTGCCTGTCGCATCCATATTGCTGAGTCCTAATTATCACTGATACAGAATCCAGCCATCCATTATTCCAGTACACTTTTAAGAAAGAAATGGCTAAGTCAAGACATCTATACTACCATGCGGACAACAACTTCCCAATTCTCTTCTGTATCAGATTTTGTCACATGTGACACTCAACTTGTTCCCAATTAAAAATATATATTATTATTTTATAGAATTCTGTGATCATAAGTGAAACTTAGTTGCTGAATAAACCCTCCAGACTTCACCTGCTTTTAGTCACTTGCTCTTCTACACTAAACCTGGTTCACCAGCTCTTCATTACTTGCTTTTAGTTGAATACAGATAACATCTGTGATGGGTGGCCAAAACTGGAAATGGATGAAGTTTGACCCAATCACCTTCCCCCATCTCAACCTATAAATAACTCCAATCCAGGAGGCTTTTCCACCTCCTGGTACTTACCTAGTGAGTAAATCCTCTTTTACAAAACTCATCATGATGATTTGGCATACTGCATGGAAGACAAAATGAACCTGGTTCAGTAATTTGAGTTCTTAATAGGAACTTGATAATGCTTTCCAGAACTGATATAGATGGAATACATTTACACGCAGTGTTTCCATACACTACCAATATCAAAACCAGGGCTGGATGTCAGGGCTCACACCCGTAATCCCAGCAATTCAGGTGGCTGAGGCAGGAGAATCTCAAGTTCAAAGCCAGCCGCAGCAATTTAGCAATGCCCTAAGCAACTTGATGAGACTGTGTCTCAAAATTTTAAAAGGGGGGTGGGAATATGGTTCAGTGGTTAAGTGCTCCTGGGTTCAATCCCTGGTACCAAAGTAAATAAATGAATAAATAAAATAAAACCAAGATCTGGGTGTAGTGATGCTTGTCTGTCATTCCAGATGTTGGGAGGCTGAGGCAGTACCTTGTCTCAAAAAAAAAAAAAAAAAGGGTAGAGATGTAGTTTGGTGGTAGATGATTCCTAGATTCAATCCCCAGTAATGCAAACAAGTTGGGAGCAGGGTGAGGGTGGGGAAGAAACCAACATGCAGTTATAAGTATCTATAGTATAAGAAAATTTGAAATATGAATAAGTCTCTGGGCATGGTGGCACAGGCCATCCCAGTGACTCAGGAAGCTGAGGCAAAAGAATTGAAAATTCAAGGCCAACCTCAGCAACTTAGCAAGGCCCTAAGCAACTTAGCAAGACTCTACCTTAAAAACAACAACAACAACAAAAAAGGCCAGGAATGTAGTTCAGGACTAAAGTGCCTTTAGGTTCAATCCTTAGTGCAAAAATAACATGACTAAGTCAGTTTACATTCTGGTTGGGCTGGGGGTGGGGTCTACATCAAAAGAAATCTAACAGGGCAGAATATAAGTGCCATTAGTGGTCTAGATAGCAAGTGCAAGCACTGTGTTTATTTATATCATCATGGGCTGGTATCATCATGAAAAAGGAATAGGAAGGAACCTATCCTTGCAGAATGGGCAGGATTCTGAGAAGTAGAGAGGGATGGAAGGCTATTACAGGCATTACCAATAGCATAGAAGGAATCAAAAGCACAGGTTCCTGGACTGTTGGACAGTAGATATCGCCAAACAATACATAAGTAAATTGACCAAAGTTAGGCAGGAAGGAAATGAGTGTGAAACTAAAATTAGAGTCTTCAGAATTCCAACTCTAGGCTCTGACAGTATGTGTATTAATTTTGAAGCCAAGAATCTGGGAGAAAAAGAGGAAGAGGCTTAGGATAATACGATTAAATGTTAGTCGAGGTACTTCTATGAGAATTTAAGGATTTTGAATTGTTTTCTATATGCAGCGATGTGCAACTGAATGCTTAGTTGTGATACAAGGTGATCTCTCTGCATTGTTTTTATTTTAGCTGTTTGTTACATACTTTGCAATTATTGCACAAATACATTGTCTCAGTGTTCCTATATTGATTTTGCAGATTCTGTGCTGGTCTTACTGCACAAGGGCGTAGGTCCGTTCACCTTTGTTTAAAGCCACTTCTGTGAAGGGTTCCTTCAGTTCAGACGCTGGCTACGCTCACAGAAACTTCCAGTAAAAATTGGCTCTCTGCAGCCACCGTCTCCCTCTGAGATCTCATCCAATCAGGCTCCGCGGAAGGGGCGGGGCTGAAAGGCGCGCGTTGTGTTTCTTGCACTGTTTGCCGCGGTCGCCTTCAGCATGGAGGAAATTTATGCCAAGTTTGTGTCTCAGAAAATCAGCAAAACCCGCTGGCGACCAGTGCCTCCGGGAAGCCTGCAAACCGCAGAGACCTTCGCTACCGGCTCTTGGGACAATGAGGTACCGCTGTTCCCGGGAAGCGGAGCCCGTACCTTCTTTCTTTTCCTCTTGGGTGTCCTGGGCCGGCCGAGCGCTAACTCTCACCTTCTAGCTCCTTTCGCCTTCTAGGTCCTCTCGCCCTTCTCTGTCCCCTGAACCCTCGTCATGGTTCTGTTGCCTGTAGTTCAGAGCCATTAATGGTTGAGCTTTGTATCTCCTTGTGTTTTTAAATTCTTACCATATCATTCGTGTGAGGTGCTTCTGAGTCAAGATTGGCTGAAAGTAATACGGATTTTACTTTCCTCTAGTTGACGTTTACGCTATCTTTGCAGGAAAATTATGTTTCATTGTGGTCTATTGGAGATTTTGGGAATTTGGACTCTGATGGAGGATTTGAAGGAGACCATCAATTATTGTGTGATATCAAACACCATGGTGATGTCATGGATTTACAGGTAAATCTGTATTGTACCCAAAAGATAACTTTAAACACTGAAAATAATATATCTAGAGATGCAGGGGATCTTAAAATTTTGTCTAGTCACACTCCTGGTAAATATGATTTGTCGGCACATTTAGCCACTTGGTGGCAGGATCAGAACTGGGAAAGAGATTGTAGATTTAATCCTAGTTTTTAAAAATTAATCTATGCACCAAGGAATGTTTTGGAGCTTTATATAAGTTAACATAATTTTCATTGCATTTCCACATATCAAGCATTGGTTTATGTTTTGTGTGTTTGTTGCAGTGAGGTGCTTGGGATTGAACCTAGGCTCTTGCACATGTTAGGCAAGTGCTCTACCAGTTAGCTATATCCCCATCCCTCAGGTATTGTTATTTCTGCTTTTTTTCCTTGCCTTTTTTTTTTTTTTTTTTTTTTGGTACCAGGGATGGAACCCAGGGGTGCTTTACCACTAAGCCACATCCCCTTTTTTTAGTATTTTATTTAGAGACAGGGAGGGTCATGCCTAGTTGCCTAAGTCCTCACGAATTTACTGAGGCTGTCTCTCTCTGAGAAGTAGAGAGGGATGGAAGGCTATTACAGACATTACCAATAGCACAGAAGGAACCAAAAGCACAGGTTCCTGGACTGTTGGACAGTAGATATCGCCAAACAATACATAAATAATATCCTCCTGCCTTAGTGTCCCAAGTAATTGGGATTGCAGGCCTGTGTCACCATGCCCAGCTTGTTATTTCTCTTTATCAATAAAAAAGCTGAGACTAAAATCTTTGAAGCATATATTATGTGGCAAATAATGTGCAGGGACGTTCGTATGGAATTGACTTTTGAATTATTATAATTTTTTTAATTTTTAATATTTATTTTTAAGTTTTTAGCGGACACAACATCTTTGTTTGTATGTGGTGCTGAGGATCGAACCCAGGCCGCACGCATGCCAGGCGAGCGCACTACCGCTTGAGCCACATCCCCAGCCCTGACTTTTGAATTATTAGTACTCCTGTGTTTTTTGTTTGTTTGTTTTTTGGTGTGGATATAGGGGATTGACCTCAGGGTCACTGAGCCACATCCCCAGTCCTATTTTTTATTTTATTTAGAGACAGGATCTCAGTGATTTGTTTTGTGTTTCACTTTTGCTGAGGCTGGCTTTGAACTCTGTATCCTCCTGTCTCAGCCTCCAGAGTTGCCACTGGGATTACAGGCGTGCACCACTGCACCTGGCAGTACTCCTGTTTTAAAGTGTTAGGAAGACTTAGAGAACTTAAATTCATTCTCTCTCTCTTTTTTTTTTGTGTGTGTATGTGTGTGTGTGTGTTTGCTGGGCATCAAAATCAGGGCCTCCTGCATGTCAGACAAGAGCTCTACCACTGAGCCACATCCCTAACCTGTGAACTTGAGTTCCCTAA